TAAGTTACTTTGTGGAACGTTTCCATTCATTTTTTATTTGTTTTGTCAACTTTATATTATCTTTTTTTTAAAATTGAAATTCAATTGTAATCATCAAGTGAGGTCTTCATTCGGTTACAAATTTTGGTCATTTTGTAGTTCGGGTTGCAAAACTCAAAATGGCAGTTCGTCCGTACGTATCCGCAATTGAATATAGAATGTGAACAGCTACAAAATGTACGAATGTACGGACGAAATGACGAAATGTTTTGACTTCAGCAACCTAAACTATAAGCACACCCTATTTCTATTACATAAATATACGGGCTTATTAAAAAGAACGAAATAATTTCGGGTGAATACTCAAGAATATGATTATTATCGATCATTATTATTGTTGTTAGCATTTTACTGTTGTGATTTTTGTTGCGATTGTTGATCAAAATTGTTATTTGTTATCGTATGATTCAGTAATTCCGGTGAAAACGGTACCGGTAGTGAGGATGGCAGCGATAATGAAGACGGTGTCGAATCAGCTAGTCGATCTGTGCCAGGTAGTCATCACTTGTTTGTGGAACAGTTTTGTTTTATCATTTTCATTGTTATTATTATCATTGCTGTGCTTACACATTGGTTTAATTTCTAACCGATTATATCCTCTCATAAAAATATTCGACCATTTCACCGAGTTGTTCATCGTGATCAGTTCAGCTTTGTTGATTTAGAATGTAAAGTGTGGCGTAATCCAACGGCGTTGTTTCGTGGTGCCGAATATCAACGGTTCACAAAAATGACGGGTAAAGAGCCGTTGACGTATTACGACATGAATTTGTCGGCGCAAGATCATCAGAATTTCTTCACGTGTGACGGCGATACCGGTAAACAGGATTATGAAAGTCGGTTGTTATCGTTTGGTTTTCAAATGGTTTTCGAAAAATTTTATTCGAATCAATTAATTAATCATCACTGGTTAGTGTTTGGTTGGCGTGCTCGCCTTGCCAGCGGGATGGTGTCAATCAAAGCTGTAAAACAGTCCTAACGGAAACGTTGCGAGCATTGTTGTGGTCAGTATGATTACAAATGTTCGATAAGCTGACCAATCCAAGTATATTCGAATCAGCGACGCATAAATTGTGCCTAAGTT